GGATATCGTTAAGCGACAGGTGAGTGCTAGTTTTAGCACTAGCGTCGAGCACTACACGTAACTTAGATGTAAGTTTGTCCTCCCTAATGACCCCGTGGTGTGGTATGAAATACGACGATACTTCGTAGTTATCTAATTTCGAAGCCACGAGTGATATGTAACCTTCTCTTATATATTCGTTAATGACGCAGTCATAAGCTTCCCTTTAACTGGGGTGAAGCGAGCATCCTACGCTCCAAGCTGTAGAAACGTTTTTCCGCTATTTGACGCGAATCGCCGAGAGATAAAACATCTCCTTTAAAGGGCAGCGCTACACTATATCTACACAATTATATAAGTTACCGTGTTTATCTTTACATACGATACAAGTATGCTGAAGTGATGTTGACGTGACGGTTACGTAACTTAACGACCCTGCTATTTTAGATGGTTGAGTCTGTCTACGGTCGACGCACCTTTTAATCTCCTGTTTAACGTTCACCAACACCACGTCCATAAGGTCATTAAATTTCAAATTCTTAAGTGCAGCTACCGATGCCACAAATTTATCTAAGAACTGCTCTAAGCTGTTGATGTTCGCGGATGATATAGGTTTAAGATCTAATATCTGGTTCAAATATTCGGAAGCTAACGTTCTCCTATCTTCATATTTAGTTTTAAGCGTTTCGAGTATTAACAAGTAATTGTTTGCTGTAGGTGTAAAACCAGAGCAAATTGACTGTACTATGCCACTAAGTTTACTAATTAAATAATATAATTTTTCAGCGTCCGATAACGATGGGTTATTGTGTATATTGTTTTGAAAACTACTGAAGAAGAAGGGCCATGTCTTAATATCACCATTGAATACCGGAATATCTATTGGCGGCAACCTAATTGAGTCACGTGGACGTACCTGTATTTCCGGCTTTGCTTCGTTTTGAGATTGTAAGAGTTTCTCCGTTCTTTTCACGCGACACAACATATCTTCAAATGCTAGAAGCGGTTGGTAGTTCACTATGTATTTCGGGTCAATTTGTAATTCTAAATGATGAATTTGGTCTAATATTCTTTCGTAATCCGTCCGCAAAGAATCTACCGTTTCAATTTCATTCAAAAAAGTTTCCCGCACTGCTTCTACATTGATGTTCTTTATGTGATCACTAATACTTTGTATACGTGAAAAAAGTATGTCCCTCTTGGCATAAAGCGTTTTAATTTTAATTTAATTTCCACTAACTGCCATTTTAAATTATTGTAATAAAGTTATATTAATCACAATTAATCTCACAACGCACAAATAATGAAGGATGGACACTCGTAAGCTGTATTACGTAATTAAATCGAACACCTGTTACAGCGAGTCGAGGTGACGCGTGTCGCTCGCTAGACTCAATATAATTTTTATCAAAATTGTCGGGTACGCGTACAAAACGATTGCTATTACACTGTTTCAATTATTTAAGCGACTAATAAGCTTTAAATTTAAACCAAATACAAACACTATTTAACTGAATAATTCTGTTTGCGAGTACCTAACCAAAATTTAAATTTAAACGAACACTATTTAAGACTATTCCATAAACTAGAGTGCATTATCTAAATAATTAATCTAATAATTCGACCAGAAAATGGTTAACTACTACTAAACACCAGTCCAAATCCTGCCGAAGTGACCATAAAATGGTGGAGCGTCGAGCCTAAGGTTGCCGAAGTCTAATTCCCCCGGTCGAACCTTAAACCTATTACGTGAGCTATTAATCTAAGTGGACTGTATCTACAAAATGCTTCTACACTTATATAAACGGCGACTATAGCATGCGGTACAATGCACTCGCTCTTCCCTAAAAAACGAACTATTATTTGCCAAATCGATGAAAGGAATCCTGCTTGATTAGGAGAAAACAAAATTGGAGCGGGTTAAAATACAATTATATCAAGCAGGCAATACTATTAGGAATATTGACTCACCGGGGTGTCTTCTATGCTGTTGGGCACTATAGCTGCGACTTCTGGAACTTCTGGAACTTTTGGAAAGGGATAACCGATTTGGCAGCCTACCGTCAAATAAAATAAATACGAATGGTTTTCCGCGCAACCAAATACAAAATCCTTTTTTGCAGTTAGCACACCAGGTCGTGACTTGGTGGATGCAGAAGTAGATGCTGCTTTAGCGGATTTCCATTTTCCCTTTACTTGTGGTAGCTACCGAAACGTCTCTTCTTGTTTTTCCTATTTCCTGTTTTAGGAATTTTCTGTAGTTCATGTCTAGTAGAGCCGTGTAATTTCAAATTGATAAGCTCACGACTCCATCAAGAGTCATGTTTTTTCAGAGTTACAAGTCCACGACTCCACTAGGAGTCACATTGCTTTTTGTTATTTTTTATAGAAATTAATAAAATAATAAAAATATATATTGATTTTATTTCATTATAGGACCTAAACAACACATTATTACAAAAATACAAGTGGACTTGACAGGAAAAAATGACCTTTGTATACGGGACTGTGAACGTGTCAAGGCAAGGAAAAATTTCAAATTGGGCTGAAAGTCGAGAAAGTAGCCTGCGAGCCTCCAGTCAAGACGTCTGAGCAGTGGATAACAGTTAAGTTTCTATAAAAGAATTTTCCAGATTTACCAACTACTGATGGCTTATAAACTTATATTTGCTTACCTAAATACATAATTATTTACCATGTAGGTATGGAGAGACTTTAAAAGCAGGCCGGGAATAAAGCAGCAATGTTAAGAAAAGATAGGATGCCACCGAGGTACCACCATTAATCCTCTGATTGAGGCGGTATTGTATCGCTCATAGGTGTAGAGTAGCACATTTAGCAGCGACTGCCCTGACTATGCCAGAGGAAGAAGTGAGTTCACTAGTATGTAGTAACACACTTAATAATTACTTATATATAAATTGATACTCCTATACATAATCAAACTTCATAACATAATTTTTTAGTTTGACTGCAATTTACAATCATAAATACTTTGACTAATAATTACAGATGTTACAACATAAGATGGAAGCTGGGGTTGAAACAATAGAAGTTATTTCCTTATCTCAATGTAAGTTTTTATAATAATATATTTAAAACATACTGTAAATTCTGTTGTATTTTAAATGTACTGACCTACAATTTATTAAAAACACATATTTTAATTACAGTTAATGAATATAAATTGCTTGAGAGAGAGAGAGAGAGAGAGAGAGAGAGATGGAGAGAGAAAAAGCGTCGTCAGCACTACAAATTAGTAAGTTTATGGTATTTTTATTACACCTACATCCATACCTTTTTACATGATTATATTTCACGAATATGTTTCATGTACTCGATTATTTCAGTAAAGTGGTAGCAGAGCAACACCTGCTTTTTGACAACCTCTCCACCAAGCAGCAGGTACGAGAGATAATAATACAGTCACCAGCACCACAAATAAGTAAGTTTCAGTTTTGTTTTTCATATAATTCCTACTTACATATATTATATATTTCTGCGCTCCAATGTTGTTTCATCCTCTATTTCCGAGATAAAAAGTATCCTGTGTTAATCCAGTATATGGTCTATGTGCCAAAAATTTAATTTAAGTAACAAATAAAAATCTTTGCTGACCAGCATGCTAGCGAGAATTAGCAAGCATTTCTCAATCTATCTATATTTTTCATTACAGATGCTGGCTGCTGCAACTCAACTGCAAGCAGAGGTTGCCATAACGCAGACAGAGGTAGCCAAAGTGCAAACTGAGGCGTCTCTCTTTTTGGGCAATAATAAAGTAAAAACCATGGGTGCGTTTGGCAGAAAAAAGCGCTAGCAAGCGCTTACAAGCGCTAAAATAGTTTTCGGCCAGGACACGATTGCTACTTCAGTAGCGCTAACATAATCCGCCATTTTGCTTATTTAATTTGTTTGTTTTGAAGTACAGTTTAAAAGTTGTTTTGTGCAATATTAGTTTTAAGTAATGACATGAATAAACATTATACATGTTATTAAAAATTCATGATTGGTAAGTTTTTAATATGAATACTTTACAAACATATATTTAAATTAGGTTAGGTTCCCCGGTTAAAACTAACATCGTGTCCTAGAGGAAAATAGCTACTTACGATTTGACAGCACTTACCGCTTACGATCGCCATTAGGCTTACAAGCGCTTGCTAGCGCTTTTTTCTGCCAAACGCACCCATTATTTATGAGCCATCTTGGTATGCGCTCTGCAGCAGCTCGCCCAGTGCCCGTCACTCCTCCTGTAATAAAAACATAAAATTATAAAATTATTTTAATATTGCAAAGACAACATAGTCTAATGTAATCTAATCTAATATTTTTAATGGAGCAATTCTTGTGTATATATATATATATATATATATATATATATATATATATATATATATATATATATAATCGGAATCTCTGAAACGGCTCCAACGATTTTCATAAAATTTTGTATCCAGGGGGTTTCGGGGCAATAAATCGATCTAGCTAGGATTCTTTTTTTTTATAAAAAAAAGAATGTTAACAATACTGTAAACATTACTAATATTCCCTTAACCACTCGTGGTAAGCTTAAATTGCTTGTGTTACGAGTGGTTCACGCCAGTAATCGAATGGCGGATTCGAACCCACGACCTTTTTTGAATTCGCGGTCCGTGCCCCGCAATTAGGCTACTGGCCTTTAAAAAAAGGATTCATTTTTAGAAAATGTCGTTATGTCCCAGTTTTCAGGCAACGCCTGGTTCAAGTCCTGTCTTTGGTTCGAGTTTTTTTCAAGTTCCCTTCTTTTGTGAGAAAATCTATTATTTCGAGCGCTTTTTTAGTATTTTTTAAAAACATGAAAATTTAAATTAAACTAATTGCACTCATAATTTTTTATTCAAATAACCAATTTAGTTTTTTCTATTATGTTGGTAAGATCAAAAAACATTATTCATATTTCATCAGTATGTAATTTGTACCTAAATATAATTCCCGAAACCTCGGTCATCCTGGTACTATGTCCTAAACAACATTATTAGTACCTGTATCTTCCAGGTCATAATCATTAAAGCTATCAACAATTATATCTGTAGATGTGGTGACATTTGGTTGCATCAATCTAAATTTAATACGCATGTTGTGTAGCACTGCACGTGCACTGATTAATACACCGGCAGTGTATGGCTCCTACATTTACCGGTGTTGAAGAGATAGACACCTAAAAACAGAATACCACACCTCAGCATCTTTGTATGGTGTTTCTGGCTTCCAAGGCAGAAAATATTGTCATTACACTGCCCTTTTATCAAAGTTGTGCGTTGCTCCTGTCTAATTATATTTATATACACCTAGAATAAATAATTATAGGTATTATAAGAGCACCTTTTGCACAGGTATTAAAATATTCAATCATCTGCCACCTCATATAAAAGCCATGGACTTGCCAAAATTTAAAAAACAACTAAAAAAATGGTTAATACATAATGTTTTTTATAATTTAGATGAATATTTTAATACCAAATGATTTAAATTAAGTTTTGTTTTTTTAATTATTGCATACTAATGTTTTTTTTATAATTTAGATGAATATTTTAATACCAAATAATTTAAATTAAGTTTTGTTTTCTAATTATTGCATACCCGATATGGGTAAACCGTGTAACATTTAATTACAATGTCACCCGCAAATTGTACATACACAGTTTATTGGCAATAAAAATATTCCGATTCTGATTCTGATTCTAATAATACGGGTATTTCATTGGGGTCATCAACCATGGCCCCAGAGGATATCCATTATCACCTTAAAGATTGAACATATAAACATTTAGAATCTTATTACATATTCTTTTACATATAACCTTTACCCTACCAAGTAACCACGTACGGTGACGCCATAGTCTAAATGCCACCCTAATAAGTCTGTGTCACACACTTAAAATAATTTATATATACTTTAGGTGTACTTATTTGTGCTAAATAAGTAAATTTTATTAATAAATTCCATAGTGGAACTGGTTTTTTTTATATAATAATGGTGACAAACGAGCTTACAGTCCACCTGAAGGTAAGTGAATACTGTGGCCAATTACAGACATCCACATCCATCCTCAATTAAGAATCAAAATTCAGATGCGTTGCCACCCCTCAGAACGAAGATGGGATGCCTCATTTCCGGTAAAAGGAGTCTCCGGTTCTCTACACTCAGGGGAGAGCTTTGTCCCACCCCGGCCGAGCCGACTCATTCGTGCTACAACCTCAGTGTAGCTGCACCATGGCTCTACTATGTAAAAAAATGCATTGATGTTATAATATAAGCCCTTAAGACTAATGGGTATAACATAAACTTAACAATAACACTTTTCTTATTGACAATAATAAGAATAAGATATTTTCTAAATGTTTTCAATTAAGTAGGTAAACAATAACAAGTGAAGATAAACTAACTTACCCTCATGCTGGCCACCCACATATGCCTCTTAATGCAACTTGGGAGCTAGAAGTGTTATATGTGTGCAATCTATAGCTACAATCACATCCGGTTAGCTGTAGGCCATATCTTAATTTTTCCTTAGCTGACCACCACTCTTCATGGGTCATAGGGAATTTTATATGTTTTCTCAATAATTTTTCATTAACAGCATCGGTTACAGTATGTACGAGTATTACTTGCCGAACCAAATTTTGGCTCATGCTGCAACCCCACTGCAGGCCAACAGGTAGCACCGACTTGCATAAAATTGAAGTGCCTACTGACGGCTAATGTAAAAGGAAATAAAAGTAAGAGTTAATACAAATGAAAAAAAATGTTAGTTTTTTTAAAGGTATATTGACAATTACACGATGACACTCACTTGGAACTCCACAGAAAATCCGCACGGCCGTTGTTTTTGAAGAGATGGCCAAAGTTCATCTAAGAGCTCGGTAAACATTTTGTAATTCTGTAAAGCTACTTCTGTCGTAGGGCCACTAACTCGCCCTATTATGTCCGTAATGCCGACCTACATCGAGATTTAGAGCTCCTAACAATCCAGCAGTTCCTTAAATCACTCTCTGAGAGATTTTTCAAAGCCTCAGAGTCCCACCCAAATCATCTCATTCGTGAGACAGCTGCCTATGCAGCCCCTATCCACACTCGCTATAGTGTGCGCAGACCGAGAAACTCTCTCTCGGACCCCCCAATAAGCTTTCGGCTGACCTGAACTGCCTCCTGGCGGCTCAGGCCGAGCCTACATAACACATCCCTTAATCTGCCTTAGTTAGGCACTATTCCAAGCGGCTTTTCGCCGCTTGCGCCCTCCTTTCTGCCAAGGAGGGTCGCGTTCGTATATTCTTAGAGATCTCTAGTCAGATCGTTAAGCCAATTCCTAAAAGGTTGGGTTTAGTGGGTAAAAGTCACCACATAACCACGCAGCCGGCTGCGTGGTATGCTATGAGCATTCCCAACCTCCCTCCCCGCTTTCCGGAGGGTTGCCCATATTTTCTTCGGGTGCAAAAAAAAATGTAAAGCTACGGAATTGACTGTCCTTTAAATTCAAAAGATTTTCACTTTCGAGGCGGTTTCGTGCTGCCGCATAACCATAACACGCATATGTTCGAGCACTCACAAATTCCATGTTGAATACGCTTCCGCCATTCATTATATTTTTGTAATTACATAATAGATTTTATATCAATAGAACTTGATAAAACTTCAAAAAAAATTTTTTGGCAGCTTACGATCGTAATGAACACGCGTCGTATAGTGAACAGTTGCGGTCTCTAGTATATATACAGTAATCTATGGAACTAGTCAAAGGTACTCTGTGGAACTAGTTTTATTGAATGCATAAGGCGTATATAAAGTTCGTTATGGTACCGATATATATCGATAGCTTTGACAGTACAGACTACTAAATATCGTTAGATTCGAATCGTTATGACTTAACAAACGATATCGATTGTAAAGCGATCGTCATCTATGTCGAGACTGCGGGCACTGATAGATTAATAATAATTGATTGCTCTGAAACTTAGATGTACCTTGTTCATTTTTTTGAAGTGGAGAAAGCCAAGCTTCATTTTACAACTGTGACTAACCACACACTACACAATACTACATATTCAAAAATTTACGAGTGGCACGGGGCATTCCATCTTAGTTATGGAGTGTAGAAGTGAGGAGTACCACTCCCACAGGAGAATAGTTGAAAAAGCGTCCATCTGTAAAGCGGTAAACTGTCACTATCCGCTGGGTGTGCAGCTTCCCCAGGTTTCCGCTGATTGTGCGACGAACTTATAGAGGATCCCACCGACGCCTCGCTCAAAATCGTAGAGACGCAAAGACATCGCTCACGAGTAATAGTAAGCCGGTGATGATATACCCAAGCGCATATTGGTGTATATCGTGAACGCTTAGTACCGTTATTTTCATATTATCACCATCATCACAGCCCTTCATGAGTCCACTGCTGAACATAGCCCTCCCCCAAGTAATGCCACAAAGCACGGTCCTGAGCCAACTGCATCCATCGACTTCCTGCATGTCTTACCAGGTCGTCACTCCATCTAGTGGTCACCCTACACTAAGCCTATCGGTACGAGGCTGCCACTGGAGAACCTTTCTTCCCCATCGGTTATCGGTTCTTCGAGCTATATGGCCAGCCCATTGTCACTTCAGCTTACAAATCCGTTGGGCTATGTCGGTCACTCTGGTTTTACTGCTGATATCCTCATTTCTGAGTCTATCACGCAGAGAAACTCCGAGGATAGCCCTCTCCATAGCTCGCTGAGCAACCTTGAGCATCCTCATATGCCCAGCAGTGAAGGACCACGTCTCAGATCCGTAATTCATCACTGGCAACACACACTGGTTGTACAATCTAGCTTTCAGAGTTTGAGGTATACCTGACGAGATGTGTCGTAATTTCCCGAACGCTGCCCAGTCGAGTTGAATCCGTTTATTGACCTCTCGGTCGAAGTTGGACTTACCTAGTCGGACTATTTGTCCCAGGTAAACGTACTCGTCAACACCTTCAAGCTTCGAACTTACTGCTCCCAACAACTACCGGCATAGGTGTGACATCGACATTAAACATGATCTTTGTTTTGTCCATGTTCATCTTAAGACCTATCCGTTGGGAGACACCATTGAGGTCATTGAGCGTAGTGCTTAGGTCCTCCAGCGATTCTACCATAAGGACTATATCGTCGGCAAATCGAAGATGAGTGATGTATTCGCCATAGATTTTAATACCGTATCCTTTCCAGTCCAGTAGCTTTTAGCAGTGGTAGAGCCACGCGGCAGTTTTGCTGTTGCACGTATGGGCCGGCTCAAACCGGGGTGGTACCATGACCTCACAGAATACCGGCGTGAAGTGTAAGCTCTGCTTTCGCGTTTTGTCTGGTGAGTGCAGGTAGCCGGAGGCCCAATTCCCCCCCACCCCCATCAACATGGTAGCGGAATTAAATATGAGACTACCCCAGGAGGGTACCAGCACCCCAGGAGAATCCCTCGCTGAGCATCCACGACGAAGTTACTCCACTCCTGAGCGTGGGTGCTCAGGCTGTCCCGCGTAATCTGGGGGGGGGGCAAAATTCCACCCAAGACTACAACTGCTCAGGGCAAATGGAGCAACAAAACCAAGGCGACCCCTGCCACGCTATCCGTGAATTTCTGCAATATCAGGGGACTTCAGCCTAACCTAAACGCCATCCACTACCATTTCGAGACGGCGAGGCCGGCTTTGCTCTTTCTGACCGAGACGCAGGTGTCCTCTCCGGCTGATTTCTCGTATCTCTCCTACCCGGGGTACAAACTGGAACACTCCTTTGTGCCTCGGGCTGGAGTTTGCGTTTACGTCAGAGAAGACATCTGTTCTCGACGCCCCGGCAGTCTTGATGGTTCGGACCTGTCCATCCTTTGGCTACGCGTAGACAGCGATGACCATCCGCGCGTCTACGGGTATCTACGGCTCTATAGGACTCATAGCAGTAATGCCGAAACAGACCGACTTTTCGACCAAGTCCAAATGGCTACAGATTCGTTACTACAGCAGATCCCCTCCTCAGAGATCGTGATCCTCGGCGACTTTAACGCCCATCACGCCGATTGGCTTGATTCACGTTTAACCGATTATTCGGGGAGATATGTTCAT